CATTCCAGGCCAGGTTGGACGGGGCTGTGAGCAACCTGATGTGGTTCAAGGTGTCCCTGCTCCTGCAGGGGGGTTGGGCTGGATGACCTCTAGGGGTCCCTTCCAACCCAAAACATTCTATGATTCTATGATTCTATCTCCTCTTGTGTTTGGGCTGGGGTTGTTGCTGCGATGGTTGTACAGACCTGACGTGGAGCTGCTGCTGTGCCCCGTGACGGAGGGGTCTGCTGGGATGTAACATGGATTGTGGTATGGGAAAAGGGGCTTTTACTCCACCCCAGACATGACCACCACGTGATGTGAGCAAACGGACAAACCCACTGCGTATCAGATGTCCCAGGCGTTACTGAAGAGCCACGACTGCTCTGGAGGGGTGTACGGGAGCCCATCGGCTGCAAAGCAAATGGATTCAGGGGGACGTGGCCCAGAGATCTTCAGCAGAAACAGCTCCACCATGTAAATCAGCCCTCCTGCAGCAAAAAAACATGGCCAGAGTTTGTTTGCTTTTCAGATAACCTGTATGAAAATATCCCTCCCTGAACAGCTCCGCTTTGATGCTGCTGCTTGCAGGTCCGTTGCTGGTTTTCATCTTGTAACGCGCGCTTCATCTTGCTTTCATTCCAGCCAAGGTGGGATGTTATAAAACAAGAAGATTAAAGAAAAAAACAAAGACATAAAAGAGAAAAAAAAGGAAAACCAAAACAAACCAAAACCCTGGAGACAAGAAGATTAAAGAAAAAAACAAAGACATAAAAGAGAAAAAAAAGGAAAACCAAAACAAACCAAAACCCTGGAGACAAGAAGATTAAAGAAAAAACCCAAGACAAAAAAGAGAAAAAAAGGAAAAAAAAAAACCAAAACCCTGGAGGACTCCAAACGAACAGAATCCTGTTAAGCAATGACTCACAAGTGCCTGGACAGGTTTGCCTGGGTGCAGAGCCGATTTGGCCGTCCTGTTCATTGCTTCTCTTACCTGAGGAAAGGAAGTTGGACTTGTCCCCAGGCTTCCACAATACGGCGATATTTTAACAAATGTACTCCGTTCCACTGTTGGGCAGCGAGTCAAGATGCCAGCTAGGAGGAAAAAGTAGTGCTGAGGCCAGGCAGCCACATAAATCACTGCAGCTCTGCTGCTCAGCTGGCCTATAAACATTAGGGGTTGGACATGGGTTTACATCAGCGGAGCAATTCAATTAATTCAATTTCATGAATTAGCATTCACCTACCTGCTCTCAGGGATGGGAAGCCACTGAGTCAGAGCCCTCGCTGTCCCAGGGTATCGCTGGGTGCTGTGCTGGGGGCGCACGGCCCGCAGGAGCTGCACGCATCAAGCTCCGTCCGGTCCCTGGGCTGGCTCTACCTGCATGTCAGTGCCATTAATTACTGCTAATTTCATTAAGCCGGCATGCGCCTCTTGCATGCAAATTGAAAAGTTGGTCTCAGAGAAGGAGATCAGCAAGGCTGGACGTTTTTCGGTGGCTATTTGGGTTGCTGTAGCAGCTGGTCGAGGGAGGTTCTCCTCCCCTTCTGCTCTGCCCTGCTGAGACCCCACCTGGAGCACTGGGTCCAGCTCTGGGCTCCCCAGTTCAAGAAAGATGAGGAACTCCTGGAGAGAGTCCAGAGGAGGGCAACTAGCATGATAAAGAGACTGGAGCATCTCCCCTACGAGGAAAGGCTGAGGGAGCTGGGCTTGTTCGGCCTGGAGAAGAGAAGGCTGAAAGGGGATCTCATCAACACCTACAAATATCTCAAGGGTGGGGGTCACAAGGACGGAGCCAGACTCTTCTCAGTGGTGCCCAGTGCCAGGACAAGGGGCAATAGGGCACAAACTGAAGCAGAAGAGGTTTCAGTTGAATATGAGGAAAAACTTCTTGACTTTGAGGGTGCCTGAGCCCTGGCACAAGCTGCCCAAGGGGGCTGTGGAGTCTCCTTCTCTGGAGATATTCAACCGCCGCCTGGACGATGTCCTGTGCCCCCTGCTCTGGGTGAGCCTGCTTGAATCATAGAATCACAGAATCGTTGAGGTTGGAAAAGCCCTTTAAGATCATCAAGCCCAACCATTACCCTGCCATCCCACCTGCCATCCCACCCCCAAACCCTGGCCCTCAGCACCGCCTCTGCCCGGCTGTTAAATCCCCCCAGGGCTGGGGACTCGACCCCTTCCCTGGGCAGCC